ATACCTAGGAACACAATTAACAAAGAATGTAAAGGACCTCTTCAAGGAGAACTACAAACCACTGCTCAATGAAATAAGAGAGGACAAAAACAGATGGAGAAACATTCCATGTTCATGGTTAGGAAGAACCAATATCGTAAAAATGGCCATACTGCCCAAAGTAATTTACAGATTCAACGGTATCCCCATCAAGCTACCAATGACCTTCTTCACAGAACTGGATAAAACCACCTTACTTTATTTGGAGCCAAAAGAGAGCCCACATAGCCACGTCAATTCTAAGCAAAAACAACAAAGAGGGAGGCATCACACTACCGGACTTCAAACTATACTACAAGGCTACACTAATCAAAACAGCATGGTACTGGTACCAAAACAGAGATATAGAACAATGGAACAGAACAGAGGTCTTGGAGGCAAGACAGCACATGTACAACCATCTGATCTTTGACAAACCTGACAAAAACAAGCAATGAGGAAAGGATTCCCTATTTAATAAATGGTGTTGGGAAAACTGGCTAGCCATGTGCAGAAAGCAGAAACTGGACCCCTTCCTGACACCTTACACTGAAATTAACTCCAGATGGATCAAAGATTTAAACATAAGATCTAACACCATAAAAACCCTAGAAGAAAATATAGGCAAAACCTTTCAGGACATAGGCATAGGCAAGGACTTCATGACCAAAACACCAAAAGCATTGGCAACAAAAGCCAAAATAGACAAATGGGACCTCATCAGACTCCACAGCTTCTGCACAGCAAAAGAAACAGTCATTAGAGTGAATCTGCAACCAACAGAATGGGAAAATATTTTTGCAGTTCACCCATCTCACAAAGGGCAGATATCCAGAATCTACAAAAATGAAAACAGATTTACAAGAAAAAAAACAAACAAGCCCATTCAAAAATGGGCGAATGATATGAACAGACACTTTACAAAAGAAGACATACATGAGGCCAACAAACATATGAAAAAATGCTCATCATTACTGGTCATTAGAGAAATGCAAATCAAAACTGCATTAAGATACCACCTCACGCCAGTTAGTGTGGAGATCATTAAAAAATCTGGAGACAGATGTGGAGAAATAGGAACACATTTACACTGTTGATGGGAGTGTAAATTAGTTCAGACATTGTGGAAGACAGTGTGGCTATTCCACAAGGACCTAGAAGTAGAAATTCCATTTGACCCAGCAATCCCATTACTGGGTATATATCCAAAGGATTATAAATCGTTCTACTATAAGGCCACATGTACTCGAATGTTCATTGCAGCACTGTTTACAATAGCAAAGACCTGGAACCAACTCAAATAACCATCGATGATAGACTGGACAGGGAAAATGTGGCACATATACACCATGGAATATTATGAAACCATCAAAAACGATGAGTTCGTGTCCTTTGTAGGGACATGGTTGAACCTAGAAACCATTATTCTCAGCAAACTGACACAAGAACAGAAAATCAAACACTGCATGTTCTCACTCATAGAGAACAATGAGAACACATGGACACAGGGAGGGGAGCATCACTGGGGTCTGTTGGGGGGAAATAGGGGAGGGATAGTGGGGGGTGGGGAGTTGGGGAGAGATAGCATGGGGATAAATGCCAGATATAAGTGATGGGGTGGAAGGGAGCAAATCACACTGCCGTGTGTGTACCTATGCAACAATCTTGCATGTTCTTCACATGTACCCCAAAACCTAAAATGCAATAAAAAATAAATAATAAATAAATAAAATCTTTTAAAAAAAGAAAACATTATGAGGATGAGATTCTGCTATGCACTTCACATAGATCTGTTATTCCCTTGGCAAAGTTAGAAAACCAGGAGTGGCACAGTGGCTGAGCCATAGATCAACATCCCCAAATTCTATGAAGATGCTGATGGAAAAATAAGGTCTTTATTCACAGAATTTAACTTTAAAGTAGACTGAATAGGCAAACACCGTGCTTAATGCAAGGAGGAAAACATGTTAAGGAAAATGCCTCTGCATTACAGCTGATAATGGATGCTGTCATTTAAAAACCTCCCAGTGTATCATGTATTCGTTGGGAAGACAATCCCACTGAATTTCACTCTCACAAAGAGAATTGCATATGCTGTACATTTTCAGATTTTCATATCATAGTTAACTGAGAAGAATCAGAAAAGCAAAATTTCTTTAGAGGATGAGGAAAAGGAGTCTTACATAGAGTTCCTCCTCCAGGTCTTCCTTTTCACAGGATCCGAGCCCAACTGTGCTCGCCTGGTCATCTGAAGACACTGGAAAGACACAGAGGAAAGCTCAGCACCCTGGTGGTTGGTGACTGTGAGTCACTCTGGGAGCTCTGCTAGATGTGGTGTATGGAGGTGGTTGATTATTAAGCATGGACTGAGTTGATGCTGGGCCATCCCCCTGCATAGAAGAGAGCTGGCAAGGGAGGGGAGCAGGAAATAGATGAGACATGGAGGTCTCGGCCTTGTACTAGAAGCATAATGCAGCAAAACAAAAGAGTCAACCCAAAATGGAATCTCAAATGCACACTAAGGTTCAATGGAAGAGTGCCATTCTTCCTCTCACACATTTTGAAGCTCTTCTAAATAACCAGCGTATTCAAGACAATGTCAGTACTCTAGGACCCAATCATGCTGTTGCTACATTTAGCATCAGTTTTAAATAATTTATTACTTGATCAAAAGCCTACATTATGGGTGAAATTGATTCAATTTTAGCCAAATTATTCTATTTATCGTACATTCTTTTTTATATAAGTCATTAAATAATTAAACACTAAGTGCTACAATTAAAAATCATAGTGATTCCTTTTGTTAAGTCTTCTTCTGGAACCATGGTGTGTACACACAACTTTTTAAGCTTCTGTGATCAGGGGCTCCAGCAGCTTCTGTGTCACTCTCCCTGAGGAGATTCCCTAAACATCAGGCTTCATTCAAACAGGTCAAGCTCCCAGAGCCTGCTCTACCTACACCAGTGAAGCTGAGACACATGACTCTGAATATCTTCTACAATGAATATAAGTTTTCAAGTTCAAATACATGCTATCTACTGAAATGAGGAAATGTGTAAAAATAGAAGTGAACAAATTTATAAAACGTTGGCCATGAAAAGGAGGGTGATTTTTTGTTAACAAGTTTACAAGACTTTTTAAACCTGTTTATTCAGACATGTAAAATATTGGTATAAAAAATCACAAATTTTTATCAGTTATATTAAATCTAATTTATCAGCTATCAATATAAAGATACTCTCATTTACTTTATGGCCTCCAAAAAATCTAGCACATAGAAAATATGTAATTATATTTATTAGACGAAAACACAGAGAAAGAGAAGATGAGTCAGGCAGGCAGAGAGGGTTGCATTTGATGACCTGGATGATAAGAAACTACATAAATTTCCGGGATTAATATGCAAAGTTCCTTTTATTTATGCTATCCTCACTTGTGGAAGAAGGATGATAAAGTGAGCAGGAAAGAAAAGAGAAACAGAGTCCTTGGCTTAGTGCTAAAGTTCACCTAATGTAACACAAAATGTCTCCAAATGCTCTGTGACTCAGTTGCAGGGTTTCCTCATTCCTCCTACCTGACTTGAGCCAAATTGCCATTGTCTTTTTCATATGTTGCAAGATCATGCTGCTATGCATTTACATGAGATTTATGCTTGCATCAAAGCTAAATTTTATTTCCATTGGGTTGATGGCTGTCCATGTGACACTAGTCAGTCAAGGCGGAGGTTCTTCATCATGGGGGAGGGAGATGGGTTGAGAGTCTTCAATTCAGATATACAAGAAAGTTGCCACAACATGATGGAAACCAGGCTGATAACCAAGTGGTGCTTTGAGTTCTCATTTGTCACTCTCTTCAACATTTTTAGCTGGCAGGATTTCAGCATTTTAGGATTTCAGCACTCTCTCCCTAGTGGAGGTCATATTACAAAATATACTAAAATACATCATTGATTCTTATAGGGTTTGGCCAGCTGCTGAGCCAAGTAACTTCAGAACTGACAGAGGTAGGCCACACAGGCCTATGTAATCCTTCACACCTCTTAGACTCTGTGAACTGGCTGAAAACATCTGGGTGTCTTTGTGCTTTTTACACTAATGACTATGCCTGTCTGTGGGAAAATGTGCCTATCATGACTCTGGATTATGTGACCACAAATGCTGCATTATAATTATGGTCAGTGTCTGGAATCTCTGAGGCTCACTGTTTTAAGGCTAACAGGGAAATGCTGAACTTTTTACATAGAGACTAAAACCTCATGGCTGAGGCATAAGTGCATGTCAGTAATTGAGAGCATCTGCACTGAACCACGTGCCTAGGTTCATGTTTTGACGTTTTCATTTGCAAACTTCAGATCTTGGGTCTCTTATCTTGACACTTCATATTCTCCACTTGAGCAGCGGGAATAATAAGGCAAATGCCAGGTGTGGCTCTGGGAAGGGCTGAATTAATTAAAGTACATAGAGTGTTGAAAACCAAAAGTAAAATTTTAAACTGTTCAACTAACTGAGTTGACCTCTTTTCTTGGCCAAGGGCATTCTAAAGAAAACCTGAAACAGGAGTTCAGGCCATAATGGGAATGGGCAGACAGAGACATCTCATTATACTCTTCTTTCTCTGGTATTCAGATGCAACTCACCCACATTCACATTAAAACAGAGACCTTAAGGCTGACAACACAGATGCTTTGCAGCCTTAAGATACTAACATGAGAGTAGATCCTGAAAGAAATCAGTCTTTTGCCCCAAAATACATTTTCTTGACATACTTTGAAATGGCATCTTAAAGCTGTCTCTTGTGGGGAAAATCTACATGCTGTAGAGAATACCCTTCCTTTTCTGGGTCTTTTTCCTGATTCAGAAATGAATTAACTAAGTGTCTGGCATTGTTTTTCAAGTCAGACAATCTATTTTCTCTGAAACCTGTTACTTGGAGCCTTCCTCTACGTAATAAGAACCTGGGTCTCACTAACCCCTTATCTGAACCCAGGCACTTTCTTCTATTGATTCCAGGCTTTTAGATAAACTCTTTCAACCAATTGACAATCAGAAAATCTTGAAATCCTCCTTATGTCCTGAAGACACCACCTTCTCCCACTTTCTATTGTCCTGTCTTTCCAAACTGAAGAAATTTACATCTTGCATGTATTAATTGTTGTCTTATGTCTCCCTAAAACATGTAAAAATTAAACTGTAGCCCCATAACCTTGGGCATATGTACTCAGGACCTCCTGGGGCTGTGTCACCAGCATGTTCTTAACCTTGGCAAATTAAACTTCTAAATTGATTGAGACAGGTTTTAGATAACATTTGGTTCGCAATGTGTAATCATGGTGGGTTTTATTTCCTTTAGGAGAGGACACTAGGGATTTATTGTGTCAAACAGAAATAACAACAATATTTGTTTATATGATTTATATCCCAAAAACATTTTCCATTTATGGATTCACATAAAGGGAAATAGCTGTCACATAAATGGCTGTCACTGTAGTTCTGTTTTTGAGAATTTTGAATCCTTGAATAAAAGCTAAGTTGAACAGACAGATGGATTCAATTCTAGGTAAAACAGTCTATTGTAGTTATGTACTAATCTTTTGTCATAGTCGATGATGGAAGAATTGGAAATATTGAAATTATATCCTATAAAATAACCGGTGTTAATCACATGATAGTTTCTTCTTCAGTCCACCTTTCCTTTGTCATGCATGTGTAGTAATTGCCTATAGAGAATACCTATCTTTGTACTTGCCAGTCCATTGAGCATAGTTTATTTCAGGAAGGGAGACATGGGCTGGATACTGATGTGTTTTAACTCTGCAGTGCAAAGAGTTGCAATAAGAGTAGCGAACTAGTAACCCACTGCTCTTTTACTGTTTTAATTGTCATTGTGTCTAATGAATCTTGCAGGATTTGATCATTTCTAGGTCTTGTGGTAATAGAGTTTTCAACTATTTCAAAAATATCTCTATCATCTTATTTGTTTGGGGCCAACTACTGAGGAATGTTCCCAGCACTGAAAGGAGTTTAACAATATTTCTAAGTACTGCTTCCTAATACTCAGAACTTACATTTGACCCTGTTGTCAGAATGTATCTGGGGTAGCTCTGTATTTTTTACACCAATGGCTGTATTATATCCTGCAGTTACATTTACTGTTGTCTGTCCTAAGCTACATGACTGCTGCAACCACCTTGTAATCATAGACAGTGTTTGGGATCTCCATAGACTCATGTAAATCTAGGACTTGCATGTGTGAGGGAACCAACCTGTGGCTACCTGAGATGGTAGGGTTGAGAGCAATCCTTCTCAGGGTAATAATTGTAATTCAACAATTCATTATCAATGCAGCTTTATGGTTATATCCGTAGGTATACATCCTGCCTCCTTCCCTTAGGGGCTTTGAAGCATGGGCACATTCATTAGCCCTTTGGTTTCTCCATCCAAGGAGTGTGTGGATAGTAAGCAATCACTGTTTAGGTGAGGTCTGTAGTGAGGATTTAATGGGTTTATTGAAATAAACTGTGTATTGTAGATCTTCAGGATGGTGAATTCAAAATGAACTGACTTGCTTGATATCTCACAGCTTAATGTGTTCCAGAGTTGCATGCAAACCCAAGAGATAAGCTCCCAAGTCAGGGGTAATGCTATAATGCACAACTGCTTTGTCCAAAAATAGTCATTTCAACTTAACTCTAACCTTGTGGCAAAAAAATGAGATACGAGTGTCATAAATTCTTTTGGTGACTTCCTGATTCTACAAAGTAGCTGCTTCTGAAAAAAGAAAATTAAGTGCCTGTTGTCTACAAAATGAGCCAGTGACCTGATGAAAGATCAACAGATACCTGGTCAAATGGAATGAACACCAGTTTACTTAGGGAGGAGAATTATCTACCATAATGAAAGGTTCTAAGCATATGACATCATATCCTGTATGATTTCTTTCTCTTAAACATAAAGTGGCTCAAATTGAGCCTGTTGCCAAGTTGTGGAGATGACTACAGCTTAGCCTTGGAAAAGTGCTCTGGATGGTATCATGGGAGACCTGGTTTGTGCATTCCTTACTTCTGAGGAGGGTCAGGTTGGGTGAAAGCATATTATCAATCTCTGTACATAGGAAATTTTGAAAAATCCATAAAAATATGTTTAAAACTATGTTTTGGTAGGTAAACTGGCCTAGACACTGATATTAGCAGTATATATTTGGGAAAATGTGTGATATGAGTAGAAGCAACAAGCTCTCAAATACTGTGAAATAAACATGCATTTAGGCTGATGAAAAGAGGGAAGCAACGGGAATATCAATGTCAGGTCTCTTTCTTGTGCATTTTCCCTCACATTTCCACATTCCAGATTCACTTCAGATTCTGAAGTCTAGCACTTAACACTTAAAAGATCAATGATGGTGGAAAAACAGAAGCACAATAGACATTCCTATATTCTTCCAGTCAACACCTAAGAGGGAAGTTAGTTATGCAGAATCTAATCAGAAATACTACATTTTACTCTCTGTAAAATTAATAAATACAATAGCATGAACAAAGAATTAAAACTATAAATTATGGAATAAGTAGAAAAAGTATTTCTTGAACAACCTTACTACACCATTTGGAGGGACATCAGTCAGTAGGTGAATATGAATAGACCTTCACAGTAACAATATACTTGAGAAGAGAGATATGAAGCTGAGAACTTCTTTAATACTTTGCATATAGAAAATCTGAGATAGTCTACAAGAATGCCATTCATGCTAACAAATTCATTAAAATTGCAGGGTACAAGGTTAACACTCAAATGGCAGTTGTGTTAATATGCATTCAATATAAGCAATCCAATAGGAAGATGACAAATGTAGTCCCATGGATAATAACCTCTGAAATAATTAGATACTTAGATATAAATCTAACCAATGAGGTGAAATAGTTGTAACCTGGTAAGAAGAGAATGTAACTGAAAGGAAGTAGAGAAAGTACAAATAAATGAAATGGCATCCCATATTCACAGACAGAAAGACAAAACCTGACTAATACACAATACTACAAAACAATTCACAGACTCAGGACAACCACTGTCAAACTGGTAACAGCCATCTGTACAGAAATGGAAAAGATAACCCCAAAATTTTTATGAATTCTTATATGTCTCAAATAACCAAGATAATGTTGAAAAAGAATAGTGTTGGAAGAGACATTCATGAGATTGAAATCTATGGAAGGAAAATATCCAGAAATTCAGACAGCATGGTCCTAGCATGGGGGTACCCATAAGTATCAGAGATATGGAATAGAGAGCCCCAAATTAAATGCATGCATATACAGTCAAGCGATCTTCAACAAAGGTGCAGAGAATACACAATGAGTAAAGGAAGGTCTCTATCAAATTATGGTAAGACTGCCTATTCGCACTTAAAGACATTGAGCAGTATGCTCAAGGTTGTTCTTCTTCCTCCATTTCCAAGACACTGGAGCCCAGAGTGAATTTTCATCCTGTCTTCCATGCCCAGAGAGAGCCCTTGATATCAGGAGTAAACAGCAAGGACAGACAAATGAATGTGCTGCCATGAAACCTAACAGTTCAGAACGTGAGAATCAGTTTCTCCCAAGCATCTGGGCATACTGTGGAAGGATTTTTGTCTCTAGGAAGAAGAGGTGATCACAAACAGAGGGTACTCATATTCCTCACCATTATGACATTAAACTCTGACAAGAACAAACTTCACCCATGTTTTCTTTTTCTTCTCTTTCTACATGCTTCCTCAGCCTCCCAAGAAGCAGGCATAACTTGAGGACTCCTGGGAAGCCTGTTTTATTAGATCCCACCTGTAATCTTGTTGCCTACGTGGAAAGGCATCTTCTTCACTGTTGAGCTTTTCCAGAATCCACTCTTTAGAACCACCAAAATCAGAATAAGTCAGAGAGAGGTGAACTCACTTCTACTCCAGCTGAAGCCACATTGGCTCAGACAACATACCCTGGCTGATCCTCTGGATTAACACGCATTCATACAGCCCCTCTGATCATAGTTATACACTTGCAAAATTATTTGCTCTCACCAAACCCCCAATACTCTTTAACCAAAGCTCAGGATCAGGTATCTATATATTAAAACCAGGAAGTTTGTTTCTCAGCAAGTGAGCTACTTCAGGGTGTCACCATAGCCAGGGAGTGATGAACTCTGCAATTAGACAAAAGAAGACACTATGAGGATCAGATTAATTCTTCTGCACCCCTCACACAGATCTGTTAGTCTCTTGATGACTTCAGAAAACTAGTTGTAAAACAATGATTGAGTCAAAGGCCAAGAATAAAATGTGCTAGTATAGAAGACACCTGTGGAAAAAACAAGACCTTTTCCCGCGGAATTTATCTATGAAGTTGATTTACATTGGCAAATGCACAATGCCTAAACCAGGAGAAAAACTGCTGTTGAGGAAAATTCCTCTGCATTATAGTTGATAATGGATGTTGTCATTTAAAAACATTCTAATATATCATGTATCCAACGGGAAGACACTCCCACTGAATTCCACCCCCACAGAGAATTGGACATGTCATACATATGTTGTACACACATAAAAATCTGTGCCTTCTCAGATTTTTATATCAAAATTAACAGAAGGAAAGAAATCAGGAAAGAATTCATTTTTTGTTTTGTTTTGTTTTGTTTTGAATTTTAAGTTCCAGGATGCATGTGCAGGACTGTGCAGGTTTATTACATAGGTAAACATGTGCTATGGTGCTTTGCTGCATGTGTCAACCCATCACCTAGGCTTAAGTCCCACATCCATTAGCTATTTATCCTGATGCTCTCCCTCCCCATTCCCCACCACTGACATGGCATTTTTTAGAGGACAAAGAAAAGGGTCCCTACCTCATCATCATCCTCAAAGTGGTGCTCCTGCAATCCTTAGGAGGAGCTGGAGGGAGACAGAGTAAAAGTCAGTGCCCTGGTGGTTGGAAACTGTGAGTAACTCAGGGAGATTTGCTGGGTGTGGCATATGGAGTGTGGGACTGAAGATTCTGAGACCATCTCAGAGAAACAAATATTTTGTTCAAATAGTGACCGTGAGGGAGTCTCACCAGATATCTTGCATCTTAGACAATGCCAAGACCTAATAATACTCTAGTATTCACAATTCCTGAAGGATATTAACCAATCAAAAATCAAGGCTTTGATGTTTGCTGTGACACAGGAGGGAAAAACTGGTCTCTTGGGAAAAGTAATCATTAAATACCAGAGCAAGAAAGGATGGTTACAAATGCAGCCCACAAAGCCCATGGATACACATCGTCTCATCTCTATCATATTAAAATACAATAGGAACTAGCCTGATTCTACAACTTTTTTCTTTGGGGGGGGTCTGACTTCATAGCCCCCTTCCTAGGTTTCAAAGCAATGGGTATAACAGGTATAACCCAACTGCTTCCAGAAATACTCCTGGGGTGTCATTTTCTACCTGCAGAAATTGTCCTATTGCAGCTTCCCTCATGGATGGTGTCCACTGGCCTATCTTTAGAGACACAAATCTCAGCAAGAAGTTATTTCAGAGAGTGACTCACCCACCTTCCTCCTCCACGTGAGGTCACATTGGATTACACAAGGTCACCCTGAGCTTTCCTCAGTGTTCTCAGACTCTCTCTAGGCTTTGTGGAGTCAGAGGTCTTCAACAAGGCATTGCTCACACTTTCCAGCCTTCAAGTGAGAATGAGGAGCTGAAGGAATCATCTTTCAATTTTTTCCTTCCACTGACCCATTATAGGTCTCACCTCCAATCTCACCACCCTGAGATCCCAGCTTTGATGTGCATGCCTTGAATGAGATGACTTCAACAATCAGACCCTGGGCGAGGCTCACAGCAGAAGTGCAAGACAGCATTCTCTGGGGATGGAAATGCTCTCTGCCTTACGGCGACTGGACCACTACATGGTGGCTGTTGTGATGAGGTTTTGAATTTTTCACTGTATATATTTAAATTTATTTAACTATAAAGAAGCATGTATATGATGGAGAAGCACACTAGATGGTACAGCTCCAGAGATCCAGAAATGAGGAAGACATGACTCCCCTTATCCTGGTGTTTTTTGCAGAATCGTTTGCTGCTCTGATTCTACCATATGTTTACGGTTACTTTCCGGACATCTCACAAAGGACCAGTCACTGTGTGGGACTGGGAATATGACAGTGAGGACAACATCCAGGTCCAGAGGGATTCCAGTAGGGATGCACTTGCACCCAGTGGAAGAGCGTGGCCCTGCTCACCCTGTCTAGATTAGATCAGAGCAGCAGGAGCAGAGGGGTGGGGCATCTCAATGTCCTCAGGAGCTCCCCCTCATCTCAGGGACCCTGACTCAGAAGCTGGTCATGCTCCAGGATGAGTGTGGGGTTCAACAGGCTGGACAGGCTGAGAAGAAAACCTTTCCACACCTGCATTAGATCCCAGCCCCGGGGTGACCTAGAACTCATCCCAGGGCTGTGTCCGTTGAAACATCAATAGAAACTAATGTGTCCTTCCCAGGACTGAGCTCTGCAGTAAGGACAAATGAGGAAGACAAAGTCACTGTCCTGCTAGTAAACACCTACAGGCAGGCTTCCTCTATTCATATGTGGGAAGACAGGGTTTGATACAGAATATTTTAAACTATCTCCAAAATAAGTGGAAACTGAGGTGTTATGGATTCCACAGAAGAGAAGCAAGGATGACCTGGACCCTGGGATCAGTCCCCATCCCTTTGATGAGATCACTCTGCACTGGAACTAGTGTCCCTCCTCACCTGCCCTGCTACTTGGGAGTGCTGCAGCTGCCCAGGCCAAGATCTAGGGGGTTCTGTCCAGTTGAAACCCATTTCTGGGCCAAAGAACCCTTGGCCAGCAGTGTCTACTGAAGAATATTTACTCAGGAGATTTCCAGAAGAGGTGAAAAATAAAAACTTATCTGTCCCAGCCCCAGGAAGATCAGGTCTGAGACCTCTGTGTCTGGCTTGACCCTGAGGTCCATTCCTATTGACTTTTGTTCTATCTGCTCTGTGTCAGAAAAGTGGACACCTGATTCCTGTTCTGCCCTTCTCAGCAATTTCTTCTGGTGTCATTGCCATCATCACACAAAGAGATGGAGAAGATGTGGGACAGGAAGGAAGCTCCTTTCTCAAGGCATTTAGGGTGATAGTCACACCAAACTTTTGACAGAGAGGAAGGACAAGTCCTACTCATTCCTGTTCAGAAGGGCTCTCATATCCTGCCTGGGCCCTGGTGATAATGCTGAACTGATGCTCCTAACATTGCAACCTTGAGATTCTCTTTTATCAATGTCCCAAATGTCCTCATTTTTTCCCTCTGATCCTCTAAATCCTGTTCCCCTTCAGGTCTAGAATGAGGCCCTCTCTTTCTCTCTCCCACTGAGCAGCTGTCCATGAATTCTAAGAACCTCAGTGTTGGTAACACTGACATTTTCCTTGAATCATACAAAGCAGCACCCCAGCAGCACCACTGGGAAGCTGTTATCTAGAGATTAAAGATGTCTAGGACAATTTGGTCATGAGAAAATCACTTCTGGGGTGAAAAAGTGACAATTACCAATTAGTTTTATTCTTTCATTCCATTGGAAAAATACTGACACATACAGGGCAATTAAATTATACTGAAAAGTAATATATTTCCAAGAATGCATGCTCCAACAAAACCGTCAAACCATCATGTGGTCCACTTGATATTCATCATGACTTAAAACAACTACCTTGGCTCTCTGTGTGTGAAGGTTTTCAGAAGGACAAAAAAACCGATTTCAACAGTAGCAACAATAGGGAATGATGGAGACTCTCCTGTCCCACAGCCGAGTTCTTCATGGAGCCATCTGTTTCTCACGCCACACCCCAGATTCTAACAACTATCAATAACCTGAAGCCAGCGATATTCTCCAGAAAAAAGCAAGCAAGAAAATCCCCATGACTCATCACTTAGATTTGTCATTAGGAAGACAGTAGTATTAGAACGTGCGTAATGTTAGAGAGGGGAACAACACAGATTGGGGCCTGCTTGGTGGGAAGTGGGAGGGAGAGCATCAGAATAAATAGCTAATGTATGTGGGGCTTAATACCTAGGTGATGGGTTGACAGGTGCCACAAGCCACCATGCCACACTTTTACCTATGTAGCAAACCTGCACATCCTGCACATGCATCGCAGAAATTAAAGTAAAAATTATATTAAAAGAGACTGCCATAGTAGGCAAATCTAGAGAAACAGAAAGTAGATTAGCAGCTGCCTAGGGCCAGAGGTGTGGGGGTTGGGGAAAAAAGTGAAGTGACTACTAATGACTATGGAGTTTCTCTGAGGGGGATGAAAAGAATATAAATTAGATTGTAACAATGGCTGCACAACCCTGTAAATATAGTAAAAACACTAAATCACCCACTTTAAATAAGTGAATTGTTTTGCATGTCAACTATGTGTCAATAAAACTGTTTAAAAGAAAAAGAACACTTATGGTGGTCATTTGGGGTCGTAGAGTTTTGCTGCAACAAGAGGAAAAAAAAACAAAAACAAAAACATAAGCACCGGATTATGCTAGGTCCTGTTGGCACAGGTCTTTTCTTCACTTGGTGACATTAGAAAACCACATGTCAAACAGTGATCAAGTCACTGGCCCCCAAATAAAGCATAGAAGATGCTTGTGAAAAAGGCAGTGGAGTGTTTTGGAATATTTAGCAAGTGTCCATGTCACCTGCCAAATACAAAATAATTTTTCAAGAAGAAAACGTGCTACTGAGAAATATGCTCACTACCAGTTTGTAAGTGATGCCATTTTTTGACTGACATCGTCAATCAGGCCTCAGTTGGTCATAAACTCAAGTAACTGATCACTAGAGTCCATGACAACTGAGGCCCGAGTCACAATGGCAGTCAAAAATGATATTCACTTGATATTCTGGAAGCCCCAGGAAAAAAATACATTTCTCTTCAAGATGAAGAAAAGCATCTTACCTGGTCAGAGGGCATCTCTTCCTCAAGATCTTCAATTTTACAGTCCTGGAGGACTTCAACAGGACCTAAGTGACACAGAGTGACAGTCAATGCATTGGTGCTGCTGAGGAATCTCACAAGGAGCTTCGGGGAATGTGGATGGGGGCTGGAGTGTATGGAGCTGGGCGGTTAACAAGCATGGACTGAGCTGCTGCTGGACCATTCTCCTTGGTGTTCAAGAAAGGCAAAGGAGAGGGGCAGAAAGACATGAAAGAGCCTTGGCTTCCTACCTAGGGCAACCTCATCAATGTGAAATAGTCTAAGAACCAGTGAATACAGAAGGCAATGTACTGTAGAAACAGGAAGTAGATTAGGGCTGCCTAGAACCAGGGGTGTAAGTTTAGAAAAAACAAAGGAGTGACTACTAATGGGGTTTTTTGAGGCGGAATGAAGAGGTTCTAAAATTAGATTGTAACAATGGTTGCACAACTCTGTAAACATAGTAAAAACACTGAATCACCTACTTTAAATGGGTGAATTGATTTGCATGTCAATTGGTTTGCATGTCTCAGTAACTGTTTAAAAGAAAAAGAATACGTACGATGGTGATATGGGGCTGCAGAGTTCTCCTGCAATAAGAGAAAAAAGAAACACCATAAGGATTACATCGTGCTGGGTCCTGTTGGCAAAGGTCTTTTATTCACTTGGTGACATTAGAAAACCAGATATCAGGCCAGGCATGGTGGCTCATGCATATAATCCCAAAACTTTGGGAGACCGAGGTGGGCAAATCATGAGGTCAAGAGATTGAGACCATCCTGGATAACATGGTGAAACCCTGTCTACTAAAAACTACAAAAATTAGCTGGGCATGGTTGTGGTATGCTCCTTTAGTCCCAGCTACTTGGGAGGCTGAGGCAGGAGAATTGCTTGAACCCAGTAGGTAGAGCTTGCAGTGAGCTGAGATTACACCACTGTACTGCAACCTGGTGCCTGGTGACAGAGAGATACTCTGTCTCAAAAACAAAACAAACAAACAAAAATCACAAAAACACAGATGTCAAACAGTGATCAAGTCACTGGCCCCAAATGAAGCATAGAGGATGCTTGCAGAAAATGCCGTGGGTTTGGATTATTTACCAAGTGTCTATGTTGGCTGGGGAATACGAAATTATTTTTCAAGAAGTAAACATTGCTACTGAGAAATATGCTCATGACCAGTTTGTAGGTAATGCCCTCTTTTGACGGACATCGTCCACCAGGCCTCAGTTGGTCATAATCTCCAGTGACCAGTCGCTAGAGTCCATGACCACCTGAGGCCTTATTTATGATGGCAGTCAAAAATCATATTCACTTCATATCCTAGAATCCCCAGAACAAAAAATTTTCCAGACAAAGAAATGAACGTTACCATATCAGAGGCCTTCTCCTCCTCTTCACTGCCAAGTGTACACACCTGTGGGTGGTGAACAGAAGCTAGGAGAACACAGAGTGACAGTCAGTGCATTGGTACTGCTGAGCAATCCCACAAGGAGGCTTGGGGATGTGGATGGGGACTGAATTAGATGGAGCTGGGCGGTTGACAAGCATGGACTGAGCTGCTGCTGGACCATTCTCCTGATGTTGAAGGAAGAAAAAGGAGAGGGGCAGAGAGAAATGAAAGAGCCTTGGCTTTCTAGCTAGGGTATCCTCATCAATAGGAAATCGTCACCTTAAGAACCAGTTAATACAGAAAGGCATTGTACTATAGAAACAGGAATTAGATTACAGCTGCCTAGAACCAGGGGTGTAAGGTTGGGAAAAACAGAGGGGTGTCTACTAAAGAGGTTTCTTTGAGGAGGAATGAAGAGCTTTTAAATTAGATCGTAACATGGGTGTATAAATACAGTAAAATAGCCTATAAATATAGGAAAAACCCTGAATCACCCACTTTAAATGGGTGAATTGGTTTGCCTGTCAGCTACATTTCAATAACCCTGTGTAAAAAAAAGAATATGTACGGTGGTGATATTGACCTGTAGAGTTTTCCTGCAGTAAGAGGGGGAAAAAAAAGCATCATGAGGATCAGATCATACTCGGTCCTGACTGCACAGGTCTTTTATTCACTTGGTGGTAATAGGAAACCAGACGTCTAACAGTGATCAAGTCACTGATAAATAAAGTGACTTGATAAATAAAGCATAGAGGATGCCTGGAAAAAGGCAGTGGGTTTTTGTCTTTGTTTTTGGACAGATTCTTGCACTGTCCCCCAGACTGGAGTGCAGTGGCACAATCTCTGCTCACTGCAATCTCAGCTTCCTGGTTTCAAGCAATTCTCCTGACTCAGCATTCCAAGTAGCTGTGACTACAGATGCCCGCCACCACGCCTGGCTAATGTTTGTATTTATAGTAGAGATGGGGTTTCATTGTATTGGCCCTGTCTGCCCTGGTTACAGGTGTGAGCCACTGAGGCAGTGGGTTTCATGGAATATTTAGCAAGTCCATGTTGGCTGCCAAATACAAAATTATTTTTCAAGAAGAAAACGTTGCTACTGAGAAATATGCTCACTACCAGTTTGTAAGTATGCCATCTTTTGACTGACATCATCAATTAGGTCTCAGTTGATCATAAATTCCAGTGTCTGTAGCTAGAGTCCATGATAACTGAGGCCTGATTCACTATGGCAGTCAAAAATGACATTCACTTGATATTCTAGAAGTGCCAGAAAAAGACATTTCTCTTCAAGACAAAGAAATGCATCTTACTATGTCAGGTGATGTCTCCTCCTGAAGACTTTCAGTTGTACACTCCTCTGTATCTTGAACAGGAGCTAGGAGAACACAGAGAGACAGTCAGTGAACTGGTGATGCTGAGGAATACCACAAGGAGCCATGGGCAATGTGGACAAAAGCTGCAATGTATGGAGTTGGGCAGTTGACAAGCAGGGACTGAGGGGCTGCTGGACCATTCTCCTTGGTGTTGAAGGAAGGAAAAGGAGAGGGAAAGAAAGAAATGAAAGAGCCTTGGCTTTCTAGCTAGGGCAACCTCATCAATGTGAAATAGTCTAAGAACGGTTAATACAGAAAGGCACTCTATGGTTCAGCGAGAGCTTCTCATCACATCTCCTGCCCATGTGAAAGTCCAGGCAAATCCTCACATTTTATGAAATGTTACAGGATTATTTAACTTCTATGGATTTACATATCCTGCTACTACATTTATCATCTATTCTTGTGTATTTTAAAATTGTAGTAAAACATACATATTTATTATTTTAATTATTAAGTGTACATTTTAGTGAGATTACATTCAATGAGTTACATTCATGATGCTGTGTCAGTAATGAGAAAAATCTAAATTCATAATCTAGCTGCCACCTTGGGCAATGAAAGAAAAACAGCAGTGTAATGGAAAATAGAGGAAAAATAATTAATGACTGCAGAAATTAATGGAATAAAACACAGGAAATCATCAGAGAAATTCAACAAAACCAAAAGCCAGTTCTTTGAAAAGATCAGTGACATTGCTAAACCTCTACCTCATCTAACCACAAAGGAAAGAAGGAAGTCACAATATACTAATAATATCAGTTCAAGAGGGGTGAAATCAAAAAATAATAAAAAGGAATATTTTGAACACATCTGTGCTCACGTTTGGTTATATTGTATGAAATGAACTAATTTTTTGGGTCTATTTTTGAAGGCTAAAAGTCTTCTCAGGATAAATGAATCATCTGAATAGGCCTATATTTATTTTAGAAGTTGAATCAATAATTAATACCTTTTCAATAAAACAAAACGACTACCTTCAAATGATTTCACCAGTAAAGTCTACAAACATTCTTAAAAAGAAACATGTAGACTTACCATACAAGCAAGTATTCATAATTTTAGTATTTCCTTAGTTACATTTTTAAAACTATGTTTCCAAACAAGACACAAGAAGGTTTATAATTGCTGCACTCATAATTGCTCAAACTGAAAGCAAGTGTCTAAACATTTGAGATGTCCTTTACTATCAAATGTGAACCAAGCCTGGGAAACCCATCCCTACAAATAAAGAAAAATTTTAAAAAAGTAGCCTGATATAAAGGCATGTGCATTACAACCATCTGCTTGGGAGGCTCAGGTAAAAGGATCACTTGAACATGGGGAGGTCAAGATTGCAATGAGCTGCGATTGCATCAATACACTCCTGGCTGACAAAATGAGACCTTTTCACAAAAAAAAAAAAAAAAAAGAACTGAACCCTAAGTTGTCAATGTAACTTTACTTGTGTAGTTGCATCAACTATCATTGCTTTAATGCATTTAAATTGGCACAAACAAAATAAATGAAGAACATGACATAGTATTTACTGAGTTTCTCTAATATGGGACACTGGATGAGTAAACTGAAATTATTTGTTTAAATAAACTTAATGATATAGTTTTCACCCTACCTTCATTTCAATGAGACAAATTTTCTTACACCTCCATATTCTTTCTGCCAAGCGCTTGGTGTGGCCAGCCAAACCTGAAGGGTAGAGCAGGCTTCTTACAGATTCAGGAAAATGTATTATAATAAAGACAGTGCTTGACATCTTGCTGACAGAGGACCACAGAGAATTTAGTAAAAACTTATTCACAGATTAGAGTTTTGATCCTAGTTTTCACCGACTGTTTTTCAACTCTACCTGAATTACACCTGGATTCTAGGAAGATTTCTTTGTGCAGGCAGATACCTTTATTCAGATGAGACAATATAGAAAAGCAGAAGATCCAAGTTACCAAGAATAGGCTGGGTTCAAATCCTACTTAGAATCTGCACATACCTGGGAGAGGGATATGAACCCATCTGTGCCTCAGTTCCCTATTCTGAGATGTGGAAACGTTAGCAGATCTATGCTATAGACCTACAAAGGTCTATAACGCCAAAAAGATGAAATGAAGATAAAGACTTAGAAAGACTCATTGTTTGTAAATGCCCTAAAGTGTTCAATCATTCAATGTCTGGAAAAATAATCCAGATACTTGGTAGTGGTTGACTACAGAGAGGGAGATTGCATGTCTCCTGTGCAGGGGGGGATGGAAAGTGGCTTCACAGTTTCCATGGGCATAGGATTTCCAGCTCATGACAGAGATCTGTGATTTCCTTGAATCCCTACATCAGCCCCAAGGGAGAGGCAGGGAATGGGCTACACAACTCGTATTTTCCAATTCAGTGAATTAAAACTCAGACATTTTGAGTGAGTTGCCCAGAGTTACCACAGCAAAGAGTGATAGATCTGAGGTAAGAATGTAGTTGGTTCCTTGGAGATAGAGATCCCTGAACACCTGAGTCCTCTAGATGCCCTGGACCCCAAACTGAGAGCTCTTCTCACAAGCTTTGTCAAATCCTGCTGCCCCAATATTTCTTTGGGAAGATTGATGCTGTGGAGAGGTGGCAGATGGCTTACCGAATTTACTGACCTACTCTATTATCCCTATGTTTTCACTTTTATTAATTTTATGACCCATAAGGCAAACATTTAAAGTCTCTCAGTTATGATGCATGGTCTGAGATTTTACTTTAATACACTCTTTCCAGCCATCAGGTGATTCTCATCTGCTGGCCTAGAGCTGGCCTGCCATATAAGAGGACTCACGCCATAACACAGAGCTGCTGTGTGCCCCAGTCCTGTGCACATTCTTGCCTTGCTTCTGTTTTCCCAGCTCTGACAATCCTAATTCTGGCTTCCAAACCAATTCTGTACTTCCCTCTCAGTTCTCAGACTTGCTTGAACTGTTTGACATTTTAATCAATAATGTAGTGACCATGACTGAACTGTGACATTTCACATACCACAGTATATGTTTTTCTTTTTATACATTTCTTAATAGCATTTAACTTTTTTTTCAGACTTTTAGAAACATTTCTGGGCTAGATATGCTGGCCCATGGCTGTAATCCTGACATTTTTGGAGGCTAAGGCAGGAAGATTTCTTGTGGTCAGAAGTTTGAGACCAACATGGGCAACATAGAGAGAGACCTCATCTCTACAAAAAAATATTCTAAAAATTATCAGATGTGGTGGTGAGCCCTTGTATCCCTAGCTACATGGAAGACTGTTGTGAGAAGATCATTTGTGCCTAGGAGATTAAGGCTGCACTGAACTATGATCATGCCACTGCACTCTAGCCTGGGTGACAAAGCAAGGCCCTGTATCTTCAAAATAAAAAGCATTGCTGTGTTACAAGTATTCCCATTTTACTTCTCATTATCTAATGCTGCTGTTTTAATCCTGATGTTTAATTGCTTTAGTAAGCTAAGAAAAACTTATTTTTTTTTAAAAAAGGTGGTATTGGGACAACCCAAGATGGCCAACTACGAACAGCTCAGGATTGCAGTTCCCAGTGAAAGTGCAGAAGGTAAGTGGACGCCACATTTCCAGACGGATTTTTATTGCCCACAGACCAGGAGATTCCCAGGCAGAGGAGTCCCATGGGTCGCCAGCATGGCTGTTTTGGCCGGAGGGGCTGCTTTGCCAGCGCCCTGGTGCGATGGTCCTCTGTACAAAATACACTGGTCTGGGTGCCCTTTTAGCTGGCGATTGGAGACCCAAGAAGGCAGATCACCCATTCATCTGATTTAAAAAGGAACTGAAACAGGGAGCCAGGCCAGGAGATTCCTGGACAAAAAAACTGCCATGAATCTCAGCGCTGCTGTTTCAACTGGCGCAGTGAGTCACCACATGGAAAATCACACAGATCCCCAGCGCCTTTTCAACAGGTGACTGGAACACCTGGGAGAGAGTCGACCATTCAACAACAACAACAAAAAAACCACTCTGAGTCAGAGAGTCAGGTGATGAGGCTCGGCTGGACCCACACCCACACCCACACACACACACACAAAACAGCAATTGAAAATGCTCTGGGTTGAGAGTTTCGCAGCAAGCACAGCTGAACCTGGGATGGTCCAGCTCTGTGGCGGAGGGGAGTCCGCCATTACCGAGACACTCCACCACTACAGAGGTAGTCTGCCATCACTGAGGCAGCCCACTATTGCCAAGGCAACCTGCCATTACAGAGAGAGTCTCCCATTACACAGGTGGGACACCATTGCCGAGGCAGTTCTAACTACACCAATATAAACAGGACTGCAAGGAAGATCACATGGCAGCTGGGTGGAGCACACAGCAGCTCAGCAAAGCCACTGCAGGCAGACAGTGACTAGGCTGCCTTCTTGCTGGGCAGGGCAGCCTTGAAAATAAAAGGCAGCAGCACAATGGAAACTCATAAATAAAGCCCTAACTCCCTGGGACAGAGCACCTGGGCAAAAAAAAGAGGAGTTTATGAGTTCTGCTGCAGCAGACCTAAATGTACCTGCCCAGCAACTCTGAATGAACAATGGAGCTCAAAGCTCAGCACTTGAGCTCCAATAAAGGACAGACAGACTCCTCAAGCAGCTCCCTGGCCCCCATATTTCCAAAGAGTCACCTCATAAAGTAGAGAACAGACTGACATTTGGCAGGTATCCTTCTGGGACACAGATAACAGAAGAAGAAACTGATAGCAACCCTTACCCTTCTGCAGCTGCTGCAGGTGATCCCCAGGCAAGCAGGACCTGGAGTGGACCTCAGCAGTCCTACAGCAGAGGGACCAGACTGTTAAAAGGAAAACTAAGAAACAGAAATAACTTCATTATCCACAAACTGGAAGTTCACCCAGAGGCCCAATCTGAATGTGAGCAACTACAAAGACAACAGGTGGATAAATCCACAAAGATGGGAAGAAACCAGGGCAAAAAGGATAAAAACACCCGAAAACAGAACACCTCTACTCCTGCAAGGGATCACCACTCCTCACCAGCAAACGAACAAGGCTGGATGAAGAATAAGTGTGATGAAATGACAGAATCAGACTTCAGAAGGTGGGTAATAAGAAACTTCTGTGAGATAAAAGAACACGTTCTAACCCAAAGCAAAGAAACTAAGAACCAGGAAAAAAGATTTGATGAAATGCTAAAGAGAATGGACAACATAGAGAGGAATATAAGTGAATTGATGGAGCTGAGAAACACAACACAAGAACCTCGTGAAGCATGCGCATGTTTCAACAGCTGAATTGACCAAGCAGAAGAAAGGATATCAGAGGTCGAAGATCAACTCAATGACATAAAACAAGAAGGCAAGAACAGAGAAAAAAGTGTAAAAGGGAAAGAACAAAGTCTCCAAGAAATGTGGGACTATGTGAAAAGACCTAATCTACGTTTGATAGGAATACCTGAATGTGATGAAGAGAATGAACCCAAGCTAGAAAACACTCTTCAGAATACTATCCAGGAAACCTTCCCCAACCTAACAAGGCAGGCCAATATTCAAGTCCAGGAAATACAGAGAACATCACAAAGATATTCCTCAAGAAGAGCAACCCCAAGGCACATAATCATCAGATTCACCAGGGTTGAAATGAAAAAAAAAAAAAAAAATGCTAAGGGCAGCCAGAGAGAAAGGTCGGGTTACCCACAAAGGGAAGCCCATCAGACTCACAGCAGATCTCTCAGCATAAACCCTATAGGCCAGAAGAGAGTGGGAGCCAATATTCAACATCCTTAAAGAAAAGACTTTCAACCCAGAATCACACATCCGACCAAACTAAGCTTCATAAGTGAAGGAAAAATAAAATGTTTTGCTAACAAGCAAGTACTCAGAGATTTCATCATCACCAAGCCTGCTTTACAAGAGCTCCTGAAAGAGACTTTGCACAAAGAAAGGAACAACCAGTACCAGCCACTCCAAAAACATACCAAATGGTAAAGAGCATCAACACGATGAAGAATCTGCATAAACTAACAGGAAAAACAGCCAGATAGCATCAAAATGGCAATATCAAATTCACACATAACAATATTAACTCTAAATGTAAATTGACTAAATGCCCCAATCAAAAGACACAGACTAGGAAATTGGATAAAAGGCCAAAACCCATTGGTAAGCTGTATCCAGGAAACCCATCTCACATGCAAGGAGACCCAAAGGCTCAAAATAAAGGGATGGAGGAATTTTACCAAGCAAATGGAGAGCAAAAAAAGCAGGAGTTGCAATTCTCATCTCTGACAAAATAGACATTAAACCAACAAAGATCAAAATAGACAAAGAAGGATATTACATAATGGTAAAGGATCAATGCAACAAGAAGAGCTAATGATCCTAAAAATATACACACCAAATTCAGGAACACCCAGATACGTAAGGCAAGTTCTTAATGACTTACAAAGAGACTTAGACTCCCACACAATAATAGTGGGAGACTTTAACACCCCACTGTCAATATTAGACAGATCAACCAGACAGAAAATTAACAAGGATATCCAGGACTTGAACTCAGACCTGGAACAAGCAAACCTAATAGACATTTACAGAACTCTCCACCCCAAATCCACAGAATATACATTCTTCTAAGCACCATATCACACCTACTCTAAAATTGACCACATAATTGGAAGCAAATCACTCCTCAGCAAATGCAAAAGAATGGAAATCATAACAAACAGTCTCTCAGAACACAGTGCAATTAAGTTAGAACTTGGAATGCAGAAACTAACTCAAAACTCCACATCTTCATGGAAACTGAACAACTGGCTCTTGAATGTTGACTGGATAAGCAATGAAATGAAGGCAGAAGTAAAGATGTTCTTCGAAAGCAATGAGAACAAAGAGACAACATACTGGAATCTCTGGGACACATTTAAAGCAGTATCTAGAGGAAAATATATAGCAAAAAGTGCCCAGATGAGAAGCAAGGAGAGATAGAATATTGATACCCTAGCATCAAATTTGAAAGACCTAGAGGAGCAAGATAAAAAAAAAAAAAAAACTCAAAACCTAGCAGAAGACAAGAAATAACTAAGATCAGATCAGAACTGAAGGAGATAGAGAAACAAAAAAAAAAACCCTTCTAAAATTCAATAAATCCAGAAGTTGGTTTTTTGAAAAGATCAACAAAATAGACCACTAGCCAGATTAACAAAAAAGAAAAGAGAGAATAATCAAATAGATGCAATAAAAAAAGATAAAATGGATATCACCACAGATTCCACAGATATTCAAACCATCATCAGAGATTATTACAAACAACTCTATGCACACAAACTAGTAAACCTGGAAGAAATGCATACATTCCTGGACACTTCCTCCTCCCACCTAAACCAGGAAGAAGTCAAAACCCTGAATAGGCCAATAACCATGTCTGAAGTTGAAGCAGCAATTAAGAGCCTACCACCCAAGAAAAGCCCAGGTTCAGATGAGTTCACACCCGAATTCTACCAGACATACAAAAAGAAGCTGGTACCATTCCGTCTGAAACTATTCCAAATAACACAAAAAGAGGGAATCCTTCCAAAATCATTTTATGAGGCCAGTATCATCCTGATACCAAAACCCGGCAGAGACTCAACAAGAAAAGAAAACTTCAGGCCAATATCTATGATGAACATAGATGCAAAAATCTTCAATAAAATACTGACAAGCCGATTGCAACAGCACATCAAAAAGCTTATCCACCATGATCAAGTAGGCTTCATCCCGGGGATGCAAGGCTGGTTCAACCTACACAAGTCTATAAATGTAATTCACCACATAAACAGAACCAAAGACAAAAACTACATGATTATCTCAACTGATGCAGAGACGGCCTTTGACAAAATTCAACAGCCCTTTATGCTAAAAACCCTTAATAAACTAGGTATTGATGGAACGTATCTCAAAATAATAAAAGCTAGTTATGACAAACCAACAGCCAATATCATACTGAATGGGCAAAAACTGGAATCATTCCCTTTGAAATCTGGCACTAGACATGGATGCCCTCTCTCACCACTCCTATTCAATATAGTACTGGAAGTTCTAGCCAGAGCAATCAGGCAAGAAAAGAAATAAAAGGTATTCAGATAGGAAAGGAGGAAGTCAAATTGTCTCCATTTGCAGACGACATGATTGTATACCTAAAAGACCCCATTGTTTCAGCCCAAAACTGATAAGCAACTTCAGCAAAGTCTCAGGATACAAAATCAATGTGCAAAAATTACAAGCATTCTTATACATCAACAGACTTAAAGAGAGCCAAATCAAAAATGAACTGCCATTTGTAATTGCTATAAAGAGAATAAAATAACTCGGAATACAAATAACAATGAACGTAAAGGACCTCTTCAAGGAGAACTACAAACCACTGCTCAACGAAATAAGAGAGGACTCAAACAGATGTGGAAACATTCCATGCTAATGGTTAGGAAGAATCAGTATCATGAAAATGGCCATACTGCTCAAAGTAATGTACAGATTCAACACTATCCCCATCAAGCTACCAATGACCTTCTTCACAGAACTGGAAGAAACCATGTTAACCTTCATATGGAATGAAAAGAGAGCCCGTATAGCCAAGTCAATTCTAAGCAAAAAGAACAAAGTGGGAGGCATCACACTACCAGACTTCAAACTATACTACAAGGCTACAGAAATCAAAACAGCATGGTACTGGTACAAAAACAGAGATATAGACCAATGGAACAGAAGACAGGCCTCAGAGGCAACACAAAATATCTACAACCATCCGATCTTTGACAATCATGACAAAAACAAGCAATGGGTAAAGGATTCCCTGTTTAATCAATGGTGTTGGAAAAACTGGCTAGCCATATGCAGAAAGCAGGAACTGGATTCCTTCCTGACATCTTACACTAAAATTAACTCCAAATGGATGAAAGACTTAAACATAAGGCCTAACACCATAAAAGCCCAGGAGATAATCTAGGCAAAACTACTCAGGACATAGTCGTAGGCAAGGATTTCATGACCAAAACACCAAAAGCATTGGCAACAAAAGCCAAAATAGACAAATGGGACCTCATCAAACGTCACAGCTTCTGCATGGCAAAAGAAACAGTCATTAGAGTGAATCGGCAAGCAACAGGATGGGAAAAAATTTTTGCAGTCTACCCATCTCACAAATGGCTGATATCCAGAATCTATAAAGAACTAAAACAGATTTACAAGAGAAATACAAGCCCATTCAAAAGTGGGTGAAGGATATGAACAGACCTTTTACAAAAGAGGACATACATGAGACCATCAAAGATGTGAAAAATGCTCATCATCACTGGTTATTAGAGAAATGCAGATCAAAACTACATTGAGATACCATCTCATGCCAGTTAGAATGGCAATTATTAAAAAATCCAGAGACAATAGATGCTGGAGAGGATGTGGAGAAGTCGGAACACTTTTACACTGTTGGTGGGAATGTAAATTAGTTCAACCATTGTGGAAGACAGTGTGGCGATTCCTTAAGGACCTAGAAATAGAAATTCCATTTGATCCAGCAATCTCATTACTGGGTGTATATCCAAAGGATTATAAATCGTTCTGCTCTAAGGACACATGCACACGAATGTTCACTGCAGCACTGTTTACAATAGCAAAGACCTGGAACCAACCCAAATGCCCATCGACGATAGACTGGACAGGGAAAATGTGGCACATATACACCATGGAATATTATACAGCCATCAAAAACGATGAGTTCGTGTCCTTTGTGGGGACATGGATGAACCTGGAAACCATCATTCTCAGCAACCTGACAGAAGAGCAGAAAATCAAACACCACATGTTCTCACTCAAAGGCGGGTGTTGAACAATGAGAACACATGGACACAGGGAGGGGAACACTACACACTGGGGTCAGTTGGGGGGAAATGGTGGAGGCATATTGAGGGTTGTGGAGTTGGGGAGAGATAGCATGGGGAGGAACGCCAGATATTGGTGAAGGGGAGGAAGACAGCAAATCACACTGCCATGTGTGTACCTATGCAACTATCTTGCATGTTCTTCAAATGTACCCCCAAACCTAAAATGCAATAAAAAAAGAAAAAAGAATACCAAAAAAAATAATTAAAAAATTAAAAAGAAGCAGCTTTATAACACCTTTTTATTACTTCACAACATATAATTCAACAGACATTTGGTAAGCAGGTATGGTGTAGGGATCATGTTCCCTTCTACACCCTTGTTTCTTTTCACAATAGTCTCTTTTTGTGTGTGGGAAACTGAGTCTTTCTCTGTCACCCAGGCTGGAGCATAGTGGCAGTATCTTGGGTCACTGCAACCTCCACCTCCCAGGTTCAAGTGATTCTCCTGCCTCAGCCCCTCCCCACTGCCTGAATAGCTAAGACTACAGGTGCACACCATCACACAAGGCTTATTTTTTGTATTTTAGTAGAGACAGGGTTTCACTCTGTTGCCCAGGTTGGCGTCAACCTCCTGAGCTCCAGTAATTCGTCTGCCTTGGCCTCCCAAAATGCCAGGATTACAGGCATGAGCCACTATGCCTGGCCTACAATACTTTTTAATGGTTGCATAGTATTTCATTATCATATAAATCAGAAATACAGCTTTTAAGTGACATTTATTTTTCCGTTTTCATATACCAAATAATGCTATGATGTATTCCTTTGTGACCTTGTAGTTGAATTTTCCCCATTGATGAGTATTTTGTTAAAACCATGCATTCCCATTCACTCCTTACTCTTTGGAAGGGATTATAAGTCTTGTTGAGCCAATCACCATCCCACTGGAAACGTGGTATCAGTTTACCCTGACCCTGGCTCTGCATGAGAGTACCTGTTTCTATTTATGAAAATTTGATGTAAAATTTGATCAATGGGTATGAAAGAAAACTGGGGCATAATTAAGCTCTATGGTTCGCTGACCTGAAGGACTGGCAGCCACTCGCAGATATGAGAGAGGAGAGAGCAGTTGGGGACATTGTTGTTCAGTTAGTTCTGTGGTCCAAGAAAAGATGAGAACAGCAGCTCTCAGGTGGAGCCCTTGCTAGTTAGTTAAGCATTGAGCAAAATGCTCTCTAATTGGATAATTCAATCTCAGCAACCCTTTGGAGGTAGGGACTTTTTTAGCCCCATTTTACAGAAGCAGAAATGGAGGGTTAGAGAAACTGTGTAATTTGCACAGAATCACAAGGCTACTCTATGGCAGCATTGGGAGCTGAACCCAGGTACCCTGATGTTCAGCTTCCTGCTTTTGTCCCAGGATATTAGAAATGGAGGTGGAAATCTGGATGCAAGTGCCAGCACCAAGCCCAAGTCAAGGGCAAACGTGGGGGAAGGCCACCATGGAACCCTTTAGTTGGAAAAGTTACCAGGTAGTTGGAAAAGAAAATCTGGGGTTTTGTCGAACACAGGAAGGTGAGGAGGTGGAGCCAATGTAGGGAGAGGGTGCAAATTCAAATGGTAGATATGCAGCCATGGAGACAGGAGTCCTGAGACCACCACTTTCCTGCCTAAAGGTTTACATGCATTATCCCACTTAATCTTCAAACCATTCAAACCATTCCATGTAGTAGGAAGTATCATTACCTCTATTTTGCAGCTGATGAAACGGAGGCCCAGAAAGGTTAAACAGGGTTGGACCATGAGTAGCGCAGTGAGAATCAGACCCCAAGCAGCCAGCTTCCAAAACTCTGCCAAAGCCAACCACAAACTAGGACTCAGTGGAGAGTTTGCAACGTGGGATATATTTGTTGGAAGTGATTGCTTCCTCCTTTTGAAGTTTGCAGCAAATATTGCCTGTAGAATTCATCTGGCATTAATCATGTACTCCCTATGACAAGGCTCTTATTGTCTTCTTGAAATGTTATTTAAATCGCACATTGTTATTTAACTTCTCCCTCTGAGAGGCAGACTGTGCCTGGGTATCCCCCACCTTACCCAATGCATGTGCACCATAGTGCAAGAAATGTTTGCTTTCATTTCACTTGAGAGGCTTCCAGGTGGAAGTGGTAATCTCATCCTTTAGACTTTAGACAGGTGATATTCCTGGAGGGGAAGAAGTCGGAGAGGAAGGGGGACAATGCCCACAGTTGTGATTCAGAAGAAAATGGGAGAATTGATGGGAGACAGAGAGAGTAATAGAAAGCATCCCTCTTCTACAGACTGATAGGAGTACTGAGTGCATGCATCATCTGCCATCATAAACCCCCTCCTTGTCTCCTTTCTTAGGGGAGGTGTCCCATATCATTTCCAGGCTGCACTACCAGGGGTGACTGGGATCCTTGCTTTTCTGCTTCCCAGATTTGCCTGACTTCAAGCAAGAAGCCAAGGGTTTTAGACAGTGGGAGGCAATGTAGAGGTTCCAATAGAATTATAATCCTTGTATTCCCAGTTTGGCTTTATTTTGGGAACGCTTCCAAACATTCCTACATTTCCTGTTTGAGCTGTGGGAAAAATGGTACTCAGCAGTGTTCAGTGGTGGTTAAGGAAGGAGGCTTGGGTTTCAGAAAGAGTTGCCTCTGTCACTTACTGACTGTGGTCTTGGGTAAAGGACTTCACTTTGCCAGCCCCGGTTCCTTTATCTGTAAGATAATAGCATTTACTCTTGCCACAGTTTTAAGGCTTAATAAGAGGGTGGACGAAAAATTGAGGAAAAATTACTTTGAGGGAGTGGGTCAGATGAGCATGGCTGGGCTGGGTAACCCATTCCCTGCCAAGTCCCCTGTCTGCTCAGACAACTAAAAGCTGAAATATGCTTGATGACTAGTCACTGGCCAACATCATATTAATTTGAAATTTCATTTCTGCTCCTTTTAAGTTGTGGGAGCTTGGGTTCCTTGGTGGGGTTTTTTGAAAGTGCTCCAAGTATTTTATTGATTGGATGATGTAGCGTGGAATTCTCGGCTATCCCCTAAAGTGTATTTTTTCTATTTGAGGCATAAAATTGTGACATAGTATTGTTCAAAAAGATGAATTCAAATGCCTTCATTTTATAGGAAGGGAAACTCAGGTTCCGAGAAAGTCACTGACTTGCAAAACATCTCAAACAGTTGTTGGCAAAGCTGGGATGGCATTGATCTTCCTGGGAATTTGTGATGTGTACTCACCGCATGGGCTTTGTTGCCCTTCTGCTGAAACTACCTGGAAATTCTTTATTTTGGTTCTTTCTTGATAGGAAAGAATCTGAAAGTCAGGAAGAGTAGCTGCCTCCAAATGCCCTTGGCACCTTCTCCTGACCCCCAATGCAGTGTGTCTGCAAAGTGTGTTATAACCTTAAAAACAAGTCTACTGAGTATGTTTGTACTCTGATGCCTGTATGTTCCATACATGATCTGGCCTGAATGATGGATGAGGCTCCATACAGGCATACTGTGTCTTCTCCCATTCTCCCCTCCCTACAGTGCCATATCTGATGAAACGATAACATCCAGTCACTGAGGAGGTTTATCATAGTACAGTG